GGTTCCCACGGTCGCCCCTCTCGGGGGTGCCCGGCAAGGTCTGGGTGTCGAGAGGGGAGCCCCGGCCCCCGCGGCCCGAGCTGCTCTGTCGCCGACGGGCTTCGGCCGTGGCCCCCGACACTGCTCGGCGGGGCCGTCCCTGCCTTGCCTTTCGCGTGGGGCTCCCACGACGCGCCCGCGTGCGCCTGACCCGCTCGGGAAGGGGCGGCTGCTGTGACGGGCTGGGCCGCGGCCCCCCCGCCTCTCTCAGCCTCGTCGTGAAACCGGGTGAAGAGCCTTTCGCGCTGTGGGGGCTTCTCGCGGAAGCGGGAGATGCCTGAGCTGCGGGGCTGGGGAACTGGGGGCGCGGCTCACACTGAGTGTCTCTGTGGGGCCTGGCAGAGTCCCTGCTGACCCGCGTATCCCAGGACGTCCTGAAGCTTAAAGCCACACCGCCCCCTTTGCCACGAATGCCCTGTCCCTTTGGCTGACCCTTCGCCTCCTTTGTGACTCGGTGCAGCCCGGGTCAGGCTTCTCGTCCCAGCATGCTGTGTCAGGCGGCCCTGACCGTGCTCTGGAGCCGCCTGCAGAACATCTGTGCCCCCCTCCCCCGGGTGCAGCTCCCGTCCTACCCAAGCACTTGGCCGGGACACCTCCAGTGTCGGGGGCAGCCCAAAAAATGCATTCCAATTGCACGAGTCAGGGGTACACCTTCACAGAACTCAGGCCTGGAAAGGGAGCTGGAGATCTTGCTTGTGCACCTAATTCAACGGACAAGGATCAGTATCTGCAAGTCCCTGTGGGCCAGGCTGTGGGACCAGAAGCCAGCAACAGGGATCAGCCTGGATCTGCTGCTGGGGGCACAGGTGAGTTGTGGGGGGCAGGCAGGAAAAGCCTGGGCGAGAGGCAGGAGCACTGAGGAGGGGAGGGCGCTGGGCTGCTGGGTTGGGCAGGAGCCTGGAGCCGGAGGCCAGAGGCAAGAGGGCGCTGGAGGACAGGCTGCCTCTCGAAGCCGTGCCCAGAGCCCTGGCCGACTTGACCTCAGAACCCTGTAGCTGCCATGTTGTCAGGCCAGGCCAGGCAAAGCAGGGGCCAGGAACCCCATGAGGACAAGAGACAGGCTGCTTCTTATTCAGCCCAGGTAACACTCCTGAGAGGTGGGCACAGGTGAGGTCAGGGAGGCTTAATGAAGATGGGCCAGCACCTGGTCCAGGCCACACAACCAGGCTGACCCCGCCCAGCCGGTCGGCCTGTTGTCTCCGCTGTGGGGAAATGCAGGTGTGGGTAGCTGGCAGTGGATGAAGGTCAGTGCCCACCCTGTGCCCTCGGGTTACTTTGCAATTCCCCCATCACCGCCCCATCTCCTCTGGTCCCTTGGGTTTGCTCTCCATTCCCGTGGCTTCTGCACAGAGCATCCCTGAAGTCCATGCGTGGAGTCAGGTGAGCTGGGCAGTTGATGATGCAGGTGGGATTTGAACCCAGGACCCTCTGCGCCCTCACAGTCCCCCAATATATTGGATCTTGGCCCACATGCCTTCCTTCCCCACAGAGCTTTCTACAGGCAGGAGTCCCCCTGGGCCCTGCAGAAATGTCCTGGGCCCCATTCCCTAGCTCCTTTGCACACCTAGCCCCCTCCTTTCATGGGGATCAGAGGGCCTGTGTGCCGGTCTGACCCTGAAGCAGTTACTGAGGTCCCTGCCTTGCTGGCCTTTGCAGGGTGCTGGGCTTTCTGTGTCTGTCTCTGCCTCTCTTTCCTTGGTGCCTATCTGATGCAGAGTGACCCGTCCCCTCTGGAGCGCTTGCTGCATGTGGGGCACTGCACCAAGACCCTGATCTAAAAGATGAAGAAATTGAGTCTCAGAGAAGTAATGAGATAATATGTGATTCTCCTAGATGAACTCATTCTACCCACTCAGTCAGTCCCTGAGACAGAATCCTGGGGTCCAGGCTGCAGGGAGTTTGGCCAGAGGACACCAGGGCTGGTGTCACCATATGCCACAAGCACATCAGGATGTGAGCGGTTGCCACTCCTGGACAGAGATGGCTTCCCCTTCCCTGTCTGCCCTGCACAAGCCCCTTCTCCCTGGCCTCCTTCCTCTTTTCCCTTCCCTTCCTGAACCCCCTCCTGACATGTCTCTCTTCCTTGTCAGCTGACTTCTGAGCTCTGTACAATCTGGGCTTGGGTCAAGGCCTAGGGAAGCCCCAGCTTCTGCAAAGAGCCCATGTCAGGGAGGAGAGTAAGGTCTGCCCAGAAACCTGGGGGCTTTTCAGAGTCCAGGGATTTTGTAGGTCCTGGGCCTGTTTGTCAGAATGGGACATGGGTGGTTTCCTTTTGAGAGAGAGAGAGAGAGAGAGAAAGAGAGAGAGAGAGAAGCGGAGGGGCAGAGGCAGAGGTGCAGGGCATTAAGGGGATCACAGGAGGCTATTCAGGATGGGAAAAAAGACCAGAGGGTGAGATTTTTTCTCTAGGGCAGCAGGGGCCTCCCAGAGGGGGTTCCCCTTCCTCAGTCTCTGGGTCCTCTGGGCATAGCTGGTGCCTCTTCAAAGGCCAGCTTAGGTCACTTCGCTGCCCCCAGCACCGCCCTCTCCCCCGGTGGGATGACCTGCACTGGGACCATTGTAGCCCGAGACTGCCCTTACTTCTGGGATGTGACTGCTGCTGAAACAGGCTCTTTCTCCATCGTCCCCAAGACTGGGGGCCTCCCATGGACCTGCAGAGCGCCAGGTTGCCTGTGGGGCAGGCCGGGTTTGGGGGTAGGTGTGTCTGACCTGTTACTTTCACCCCAGCCACTTGCATCTCCCCACTAAATAAGTCTGTGAGGTCCACGGGAGAGGGAGCGCCCATACTCCCCGCTCCCCTCAGGGGTTCTGGGGAGCCGGAGCAGAAAGACCAGAGAGCCTTCGGAGAATGGTAACTTTATGTGGGAGGTTGGGGCGGGTCGCACGCTCTGGGTCGCCGTCACCGTGGGAAGATGCTGCTGTCCGCGTTCTCCTCCAGGATGGCCTCCACGCGCCTCCGCTGTGGGGGGACAGGCTGGGGCCGGGTGTGTGCAGAGGCGGGCGGGGGCCCCCTCTCCGCCCTCACTGGGGCTCGCCCGCACCTCTTGGCGGTCCAGGGGATCCGGGATCCGCGTGGGCCTCAGCTGTGGCGGCAGTAACAGCTCGAGCCGGATGGAGGCGCGCGCGGACTTCTGCTGCCGGATGAGCAGCGCGATCTCCTCGGCCTGCCGGGGCTCGGGTGGCTGAGCTCGCGCCCCACGCGCCCCGCCCCGTTCCGCGCGCCCCGTGCGCCCCACGCGCCCCGCCCCACGCGCCCCGCCCCGCCCCGTTCCGCGCGCCCCGTGCGCCCCACGCGCCCCACGCTCCCCGCCCCGTTCCGCGCGCCCCGTGCGCCCCCTCCCCTCACCCGCATGCGGGCGTAGCGCAGCCGCAGGGCGCGGACTCGCCCGCGGGCCTCTGCCGCCTTGAGGACGCCCAGGAGCAGGTTCTGGCGCTCCGAGGGCAGCTCGAGCGGCTGCGTCCACGTGCGCGGGTCGGGCATGCGGTGCCCCGGCCCTGCCGACCCGTGCGGAAAGGTGGAGGCGGCCGCGCCCACGTCCTCCAGCAGGTCGCAGAAGAGCAGGTGGCGGCGGCGCTGCGCGGGGAGCAAGGCCGCCAGCCCCTGCGGCGTCAGGGCCCAGCCCGGCTTCCGGGACTCCGTCGCGGGCGCCGCCTTGGCGCCCCCCCCACCCCGCCCCGCGCCGGGTGCGCTCTTCCCGCCTTGCTCCTGCGGGGCCTGGCGCCTGGCCTCCTTCGCCGGCGGTGGCATCCTCCCCCTGCAGAGGGAAGAGGGCGTCCTGTCGGTGCAAGCGGTGGCCCCGGGTCCCTGCGCGCCCCTCGGGGACCCCCGTGCGCCGCAGATCCGGCCCGCTGGGCTCCCCGCAGTCGGACTTGGTCCCGCACCCCCAGCCTCTTAACTCGGCGCAGGCGCACTCCCACCCCCGAGCAGCGGCCCTGCCAGCGTCCTGCAGGCAACTGGGACTTTCTCATCAACTCAGTTGCAGGAAATGTCTCTCCTGCCCTACCGGCTGCTGTGTTTGCACCGAGGAAATGCCGAGACCCCAGAGTGGATCTCCGGCCCTGCCAGGGTGGGCGCCACATGGAGACCTCTAGGTGACCCCGGGGCACCTTCATTGTGCCCCCATGTCTGCGGTTCCTGACAGTCAGCATCTCCCACCAGACAGCTGTCTCTTCCCCTTCGGGGCCTCGATGGTTGTGGAGAGCAGAGCCTCGGGGGCAGGTGACAGAGGAGGGAGGGTCCGCGATGGGGAGAGGAGAAAAGAGTCAACAGCCCAGCCGGCCAGCCTACAGCTGCCACCTTGCCCAGCCAGGGCCAGAGGCAGAGCCACGGCCCGACCCGGCGGCTGCGAACGCCCCCACCCCTCCTTAGCTCCAGGAGCCGAGGTCCTGCCCCCTCTTGGTCCCCACACTCCATACTTGCTGCCTGCTTGGGTCGGTGGAACGTGGAACCTCCGTGTAGTGCAGACTCTCTGGGGCTTGTTGACGCGGTTGCCCAGCAACCCGGAGTCCTGCGCCTCCCTCGAATCCGCGGGGCGGGTGGTGGGGGTGGGGGTTCCCTCCGGAGGGCCCTGGGGGCGTGGACGCGCCCCTCATAGGGGCCATCGCGGCACAGAGGCTTAGAGCCGGCTTCTCCAGCTTGGGCGAACGTCCTTTCCAGGCTGCAGCAGACGCACCATCCTAGGGGGTGTGGGCCCAGGTTCCTGGCTTGAGGGATCTTTGAGTCTAGTTTTTTGGAGCGGGGCCATCGGCCATGAGGAGACCTTGTGGTTCAGGCCCATTCCCTTCCGATGGCCAGGAGACCCTGGCACCAGCCACTGGTGTTCATAGAAAGGGGTACTCGGGACCCCTCACCTCTTCTAGGGCAAGTCTGGGGCCTCAGGGGTCCAGGTGTCCCCCAAGACTAGAGCTGGGTTTTGCTGAACCCTGTGTCTTGGGATCTTGGGTCCTAGGTCCTAGATTTTGGAAATCTATTCGTGCATTCCTTTATTTTGCAATTAATTCTCAACTAATTAATAATTAATTCTTTTTTTGTTTTTTTTGAGATGGAGTCTTGCTCTGTTGCCCAGGCTGGGGTGCAGTGGTGTGCTCTCAGCTCACCGCAATCTCTGCCTCCCAGGTTCAAGCCGATTTTCCTGTCTCAGCCTCCCGAGTAGCTGGGATTACAGGCACCTGTCACCACACCCAGCTGATTTTTGTATTTTTAGTAGAGACGGGGTTTCATCATGTTGGCCAGGCTCATCTCAAACTCTTAACCTCAGGTGATCCACCCACCTTGGCCTCCCAAAGTGCTGAGATTACAGGCGTGAGCCACCATGCCTGGCCAATTAATAATTCTATAATTTTTTCAGGCATTAATAAGTGTGTTCTAGAATGTCTTAATTCACATGCTTTTTCCACAGTTTAAATTAGGCAAAAATGAATGCAAGATGTCTGTGCTCTCTCTACATCCATAGACGTGCCTCTGGGGTATCTTACTGGGAGTTGGAACCTGTGAGCCTGGGAGGAGGGCTGTCCTGGCTGAGGGGCAGGGTCTTAGCTGAGGTTCTGGCCTTTTGGCAGGAGGCTATTGGGTGTTCCCGTTGTTTTTGGGAGGCTGCCCTGGCCTCTCAGTAAGAGGGTAAACTTTGACATTCAGCCCTTTTCCCGGAGTCGGCATCCCATCCTTTGGTGAGGCCCATTCTTCTAGCCCTCGAGCCTCTGCTGCTCCCCACGAAGGCTCTTCCTGGTGCTGCTCCCTCCCCTCCTGCAGGTGCCTTTGGGGTGCTGCCTGGGCCGTAGCACCAGCCTGGCTTGAGGAAGGTCCCTGGGCTCCAGAAGCAGCAGGGAGTACGTAGGGACGCTCACCTGCGGCTGCTTCCTCCAGGCAGCCTTCTGTGCTTGCCTAGAGGTGAGTCCTTTGAGACAGGACTTGGGCCATCCTCAGCTTCCCTGGGTCCCAGCCAGCGGGACACATGGGTGGGGAGCTTTCTGTCTCTTGGTGGTTGTGGGGGTGGGTCGCACAGGGAGAAGGGAATGTTCTTCTGTTCTGCAAGAAGGGGCTTTGAGACCGAGTCTCACTCTGTCACCCAGGCTGGAGTGCAGTGATGTGATCTTGGTTCGCTGCAACCTCTGCCTCCCAGGTTCAAGTGATTCTCCTTCCTCAGCCTCCTGAGTAGCTGGGACTACAGGCTTGTGCCACCATGCCCGGCTAATTTTTGTATTTTTAGCCATGTTGGCTAGGCTGGTCTGGAACTTCAGGATGGTCTTGATCTCCTGACCTCGTGATGCACCCGCCTCGATCTACCAGTGCTGGGATTACAGGCGTGAGGCACCATGCCCAGCCTCTTTCACTTTTTCAATAGCACTAATGTATGGCCTGGTGACTATATTTCCCAGGGGATGGCTGCTTTGTGTGGGGCTGCCGGACCCTCTGGTTTGATTCTTGTCCTTGGCCAGCCCAGGGTGGTGAAGCCTGTGGAAGGAGGATGTAGACTGGGCCTGCCCTGGGGGCTAGAGTGGTGGGGACAGAGGACAGTGCTCCAGCTGCCCTCTAGCATTTGTGGATTCTGAGTCACTGGATAAGAGTGAGGTGTGTGTGTTTGCCTGGTGAGTGGGTGTGAATCTCACCCCAGAGCCCAAATACCCAAGAGCTCCATGTGCAGCCTGTGACAGGCTTTAACTGTCATTTGTGGACACAGGCTCTGTGCTGTCATTCGTGTGCCATTGTGTCATGTCTTGAGCTATCCCTCCTATCCTTGCATGCTGTTTTGCCTGCCTAGGACATGTGTGTTTGAGGTTGTCTTGCTCTCTCGTATAACATGTGTCTCTCGCCATCTCTTTTGTGACATGTATGTTCTGTATAGGACCCTGCTTCTACCTTCCCCCTTCTGGAGGGGCCACCCCACCTTTGGCAGGTTGGGGGAGGGCAGGACTCTATTAGAGGTCTGGAGAAACCTGGGCCATTTCATCTGCACCACCTGTTCTCCTCTGTGGGAGCCTTTCTGGGTCCAGGGCTGGGCCCCTGCCAACCTCAGGGAGCGCATTCAGCATCACATCTGGCCACTCCCCTGGCCAGATGACCAGGCCTGTCCTTCCCTCTAAGACTGCATGTGTGAGGGGCCAGGCGTCTGCCTCCCGTAGTCTCTGCTGGGCCTATTGACCACACTCTCAGAGGATATCTGTTGGGACCAGAGCTCACAGGCCTAGCCTGGCAGCCGTGTTGCTGAGTCATGGCCAGGTTTGGAAGGCTCCCAGGGCTGAGGGTCGTGGGGTAGGGTTCTTGGAGGAGGTAGGACCGGAGCTGGTGGGGGTGTGGCAGGATTCATGCAAAGGGCCAGGATCTGCACAGGAGGCCAGAGGCTGTGCAGGAGGCCAGAGGCTGAGCAGGAGGCCACAGGCTGTGCAGGAGGCCAGAGGCTGTGCAGGAGGCCAGAGGCTGAGCAGGAGGCCACAGGCTGTGCAGGAGGCCAGAGGCTGTGCAGGAGGCCAGAGGCTGTGCAGGAGGCCACAGGCTGAGCAGGAGGCCAGAGGCTGTGCAGGAGGCCAGAGGCTGAGCAGGACGCCAGAGGCTGAGCAGGAGGCCAG